CGAAGCATTTACAGCAATTACTTAATTTTGAAACTTTTTATTTAACTGAATCTTATTGCTAATCTCTGTTACAGAGAACGTAACTTTGTTACATTTTGTATTTTTCTTTAATTCGTGTAAAAATTGACGATGTCATCTGACTTTCAGCAATGGTTACAAAAAGTATATTTGCAAAATTTATCATGGGATCAATTAAAGTAAATTATTCTCCAATTTGAATACGACACAAGCGAGCGAGTAAGAAATCAAAATTTTCAATCGAATGAAAAAATGTTTACTTCGAGCCTGATTTTTGAGCCTATATACAAATTCTATTCAAAAGTTCTAATCCCTATTATACTAATTGTAAGATCAATTAAAAGACCAAAATAAAATCCACCAGTCATTTGTGCAAACACAAAAGATACAAGCTAAAAGATCGAAGACCAAAACGATAGTCCTAGGTTTGGGTTAGTTTCATCATCGTCATCCATCAAACGTAAACCAGATAATTTTTTCTCCGGCGATGCAACAAGATCCGGCAATTCCTTTCGATAACGAGTGTTTTACAATACCAAACAGTTTATCCGCAACAATTTTTCGACATGCCGGTCGTGTGCGGGCGATGTATCGTCGTTGAAACGCGAGGGCGAGTTGGGTATTTTCCAGCGGCTGCCGCTCACCACCACCACACCGCTAGCATCACCGGCTGCTGCTGCCGCCGCCACCACCGTCGGATCCCCCGACGAAAGCCACGACACGGCCTGTGCATACAAACGGTTCCAACGGTTCGCCGTGAGCAAGGCTGAGCCGGCGTTCGAATGCGTGCAACTCGCACGAGTGGAAAATACCTCAGAAGCTGAGGATGGCTACAACCACTATTTGTTCTAGTCTAGTCTCGCTTGGATCGCGTAGCTACCCAATTTCCTCCCCCTCCCGCCTCTCCCACCCCTCCACCCTCGGCACTCTACTCTGGAAACCGATCCTCTCGTCCTGTTCCAACACGCTTTGTCTCGCCTCTCCGTCTTTCCGTCTAACCCCCTTGAGGTAACCCTCGCTCGGTGCACGACCCTTTCCTCATTTCCTCCTCTCCCTTTCTCACCCTTTCTACAATTCTCTCCTCCCCCTCTCGCCAACCCCCTCTACCCCGCCGCGCGTTGCCTCTCTCGCGTGTCCGTCATCCTCCGGTTACTCTTTTAGCCAGGTCTCTCCTCCAACCCTCGCGATCCATCCCAGTTTCACCATCCCCCGTCATATCCCTCCTCCTCTTCTCCACCTCATCTCATCCGCGCTGCTGTTCCGTTCGTTACTCGTTCCCCACTCGTCCCTACTAGTTTCGTGCGTCTATTTATCCACCTAGCGGTATGATATTACACCCCGGGGCACACTTTGGCATTCCCCCACGCGGCGCTCAGCGTCGGCGGTGGGCACCCCTGACGCACCCTCTGGCTCGAGCCACGCCCAATCGTGGCCCACTGAACACCTCCCGTACAGCAGCCAGTCCATTGGCCCGCGCTGACTTTGCGTCATCGCCACCCCGGCACTTGCACCGCGTGTTTCACGGATACACCACCGCTGCTGCTCGGCTGCTACCACCGTGGCGTCGTCGCCGCTACCACCACCGCCGACGCCACGGTCGCGCGCGCGACTCCACTTTGCCGGCTGATTGCGAGGGCATCGGCTCGCCGACAGAGACGGCCGGCCCGAAAGAAAAGGAACGGGACAGGATATGCTGGCAGAGTCCCCGGTATCGAGAAAACCGGGGCGAGGGCAAAAGGGAGCGCAGGGGGAAAAACCGAGGGAGAGAAAGAGAGAAAGAGAGAGTGAGAAAGGGGACAAAGGGAAGTCGAAGGCGGAGGAAGAGAATCGGAGGATGGCGGTGGTGTGCAGCTCTCCGGTCGCTACGGCGAAGAGGGTGTTGAAATTTAGGAGGCTTCATTTGGACCATTCTTTTACCGTCGCTGTATCGCGCGCGCCGTAGTTATTACGCTCATACTGGAATTTTTTTTTTTTTCAGTCATCTTTCTTGTTGCTGCCCGTTTCTTCTTCTTCTCCTTCCTTCCTTCCTTTCTTCTTTTCCTTCTTTTTTCTTTTTTTTTTGGTTTGGGTATATCGGGATGAAGAGTCGCAGACGGATGTTTCCGAAGACGAGGAGGTTAGAGGTTTCCCCCGGATTGAGCGCGTTGATCGTGTATAGTAACAGAGAGCTGCTGTCTTCTCGCCTTCCGACTCGGAATCTGGGTTAAGAGGCTGACCTCGAGCCTCGATGGCTTTTGTCGAAGAAACTGTTTTAACGCGCTCCGCTCCCGTTGCATGAGCTTCGATTCGTTAAAGATGGAAAAACAACCCCCGGAATCGGGATTTTTCTTACCCGTGCAGGATCACGGAATATTTATTCGTACGACGCGTTTCGCTTCATTTTGCTGTGCTTTCGATACTTGGAAATGACACATCTGTGTATTCGTATCACTTTATTGTTATTTTCCTACCTGGCAAATAAAATTCTGATTATGAAGGGTTAACTTTTAATTTAGTTACAATCGAAACTATGGTTAGGATTATTTACTGTACTTTATCTGAAATCGTAATATAAATAAAATTTAATACCGCGAAATAAGGAGAAATATACACGATGAAGGTCATATTTATTCGAAGATACTCGTTTAGAGACTGAATTTAAAATTTCCCTAATTTCTTATATTTAATAAAACTCTTATATTTTGGGATTAGATGCTAATTATTATGGAGTCTTAAATCTTGGAACTCCAGCTAAAAATTATTTTGAAACTGTACACGTTCAACATTAATATTAGTTCAAAGCTAATCCTAAATAGATAGATACTAAAAAAAAAAAAAAAAAAGACACCACTGACAGAAATACTGACAGAAAATCATACGACCGTTTGAAACATTGAAGAACCGAAAGTAAAAGAACTCTGTGAAAGTCAAAAGTGTACTTGGCAGCGTGCGTACCAGGGACGTAATGAGCCACTCTACGAACTTATCTCGCCGAAGACACACGGTTTTTCTAACGGGGTACTGTTGTTCCCTGTGCGTTATCCAGGAAGCAGTAGCTTTGATCAGCCTGGTAATGCATCGGCCCCATGAAAAAGCTCTGAAATTGCGACTCGTTGCAAACGTTGGATGGAGGAGTAGACGGACCAGAGAAGAAGGAGGAGATTTAGGGTGAACAGTTGAGCCTTGAAAGGCCTAATCGTCTCGGCAGTCTCTTTGTACGCAAAGTTAATAACGTGTATTTATGTATTTGCCACGTTTAATTGCCTGTGCGGCTATTACATTCGCTCTGAAATGCTCGCTCCCGCCTTGAATACACCGCGGAGGGTAGTATTAAGTACTTGCTCGAGTGGTCCGCGAGTCTGGCAATGACACGAGACCTTCTCTACTGCACAGACCTACCATTCCTCTTAAACTTGTTAAATATCGATACTCGAAAATTTCTACTTGAATTTCTTTTCTCTTTGCTATTCGAAACTATTTAAAAGTTTCCTTTTCTTTCAGTGAACGACGAATGTCCTTTTTATAAGAAGAAGTTTGAATTAGATATATTATCTGATCGCTGTTCTAGTATCACTATTAGACCTGTTCAATATGTTTATATTGCGAAATTTCTATAAAAAGAAGAAAAAAATGATACATATAACTTTTGTGACAATGAGTTTGGCTAATTGCTATTCTGTTTCAAATAAACTGATTAAACACTGGTGATTTTATAGGTTTTTATAGTTGAAATCTTAATTTCAGAATTAGGAAATTTTCTGTTCAGTTTCAGATTTATATTACCTATATACATCAGTGTATTATAGCCAGTATATTATATAAATAGTATTACCATGAAATTGTTATTGGAAATTAATGTGTGTAATATTCTGCTGTTGTCTCAATAAATATTCAAATCGTTAGCTTTCGGTGGAGTACAGTATTATATTGAAGAATTATTGTTTCAGTTGATGAATAAATTAATATCCACCAATGGCTATTTGATTTGCTTAGAATATGTAAATATGTATAAATGTTATCATTGAAGAATTACTGTTATAGATTAACTTACACGTTTCTTGTTGTTTTTACAAATTACTTGAAGATTTATTGCTGATTTTATGAACCACTGAATCTATAGGTTAAAAAAGAAAAAGAAAAATAAATGAATATGAATGGATTAAAAAACATATGAAATGAATATAAAATTATTCACTAGCTTCAACCTTAATTTTAACATTACTATTAAATCTTGCTCGAAATATTCCTTTTTTTATTTAGGCATCTACGTACATTGCAATTGTAGAAAAATCAAATATGGGCGCTATTTTGAATTAGGATTTTAAGATTAAAAAATAGAATTCAACAAAATAAAAATGAAATATAAACCAGTACGTCAATAAAGTATTTTGAATATTTCAAAAGACACGTTCCCTTCATGTTTTTAATTGTATGTACAATGAAAATTTAAATTAATTTGTAGGTTACAAACAAACTGGTTAAAAGATTTGGCGCCTAAATTATGGTAGCCATATTTAAAAATTCGTTCACATTTTGAATAACTAAATTCTGTCTAAAATCTATGTTAAATATATCATACCATATTCTCATTTTATATTTCATTTCTTTTTCATAATTTGACATTGACATTAATAATATTCGTATTATAATATGTAATTATATTAAAAATAGGATCTAAATACCAACCTATACTTTGGGTTTTTTCTTCATTAAAAGAATTGATGAAAAGAAGTGATCGAAAGAGTCCTAATATAAATGAACTTGAAATACACCATGCAAATTCTTCCTCAAATCTTCTAATTTTGTACATCATTGTTGTTTTATCGTCATTTTATACACTTTTTACTGCGCTCCATTACGAACAAAAGTAACGGACTTATGAACTGAGAGTCTGTTAAATTGAACAACACAGTAAGCGCTATCTAGTGACAAATTTCAGAAACAAAATTGCCGCAAGCGCTTTAAATATGGCGCTCCCTTTGGCATTGAATTATGAATTCTCCTAACCTCATTGAATGTCATTTATTAATTCGTTAGGTAATAGATTAGTCATCATGCTCCTAATAATAAAAAAATAAATAAATAAAGTACATTGTTTCATTAATCTGTATGAATTGAAACATGACAAATATATCATAAGACATAACTCGAATATTAGCATATTTCATTTAATTAAATTACAGAGAAAATAATATTTTACAAATATGTCTATATTGCGAGCTGTATTATTTAAGCATTATACTAATTATTCAAAATGTTCAAGGTATCACTCATATTTTATAATAAATTTTTCATACAATCAATTGTAATAATTCCAAGTTTATACTAAATCACTGCAAATAATGTTTCTGTTCTAGGGATTCGTTACTGTTACTCTTATCGAAACAGAGGAGTTCGCCGTTTAATATAGCAAAACGAAAATTCAGTAGTAGCACTGGATCCGTAACAAACAACACTAGTAAATTAAAAACAATTTTAAAATTTGGTTCAGGTGGTTTAGGTAGTATAATAATAACATGCCTGATAAAGTCTCATACTTGTGCTGTTGAAGGCAAAACACTTAAAGTTTCGGAAACTATTAGAAAAGATAATAAGGAATTGACTTTTAAGTGGAAAAAATTTTTAGAATATTTATATCCATATGTTTGGCAATTATTAATAGCATTATCAGTAAGTATCCAATGTATATGAAGATTTTATGTTTCTTTAATGAACCCATAATTTCTAGAGTGCAATGGTTGTTGCTGTATTAAATATTTGGATACCACAGCATATAGGAAATGTCATCAATGTACTGACAAAAATTTGCCAAACAAGAGGTGAAAATAGTTTGAAAACTATGCTATTGCAGTTGACAGAGCCTGCATTCGCATTGGCACGTATGTATGTTGCACAAGTATGTAATTGTTAATCCAACAAAAAAATTACATTATAATATTATTTGTAAAAATAATTTAAAAAAAAGAACTTTTAGAGAATAATAAAAGATGTTCTATTTTTAGGCACTTTTTACCTTTGTATATATTTATACACTTTCACACGTTGGAGAAAGAATAGCAATGAATTTGAGACAAGATTTGTTTAAATCGATTATAATGCAAGACATCACATTCTTTGATAAGAATCGTAGTGGTGAAATAGTAAGTCGACTAACCAGTGATATTCAAGACTTTAAAAGTACCTTTAAAATATGCATATCGCAAGGCTTAAGAAGTACAACACAAATTATTGGCTGTGTAGTTTCTGTAATAGGGATTTCACCACAACTGACAGCAGCTACAGTATTGTCTTTGCCAACTATAATTCTTATTGGCACGTTGCTTGGAAGAGGCTTAAGAAAATTATCTATAGAGGCACAGAATCAACTTGCTAAGTCTACAGATGTTTGTGAAGAAGCTATACAGAACATTAGAACGGTACTATCATTTATGATAGTGGTAATGAGGTTCCTTTAAATAATATATAATACATCATTTTTGTAGGTGAAAGCATTTGCAGCTGAAGAAAAAGAGATAGATATGTTTTGTAAAGAAACTGCGTTAGGAGCTACGTTATATGAAAAATTGGGTTTGGGAATTGGTTTGTTCCAAGGGGGAACAAATCTATTTCTTAATGGTATTTTACTTAGTACCTTATATTTTGGTGGACATTTATTGTCTACTGGACAATTATCTCCCGGAGAATTAATGGCATTTTTAATGGCTACTCAAACCATACAAAAATCTTTATCTCAGTTATCTCTATTATTTGGATCATATGTTAGAGGTATTAGTGCTGGCGCTAGAGTTTTTGAGGTACATATACAATTTTATGTTTCATAACATCATAAAAAGTATTCTATTTTATAATTTGTTGTTACAGTACTTAGAGATGCCACCATCAAATCAGATGGTTAGTGGGCAAGTTATTACAGACCAGTCTCTTGCAGGAAATATTACGTTTAAAAATGTGAAATTTAGTTATCCTACTCGTCCAGACCACGTTATTTTAAAGAATTTTAACTTACACATTCCTGCTGGGAAAACAGTAGCTATCGTTGGTTCCAGCGGTAATGGAAAATCAACAATAGCTGCTTTGTTGGAAAGGTAGATTCAAAATTTGTTTACCTAAAATTTGATCATTACTAGCGTAAATGGCATAAAATATTTCAGATTTTATGACGTCAATGATGGCTCAATTACAATTGATGGTAAAGATTTAAAATCACTCAATGCTGGTTACCTTCGGGGTAACGTCTTAGGATATATAAATCAAGAACCTATTTTATTTGCTACTAGTATTATGGAGAATATACGATATGGAAAACCGGATGCTATGAATGAAGATGTAAGTATTATTGTTAGAATTAAAAGTATATTTAATATACTATAAAAAATTAATTATTATATTATTAGGTCATTGAAGCTGCGAAAGAAGCAAATGCTCATGAATTTATTATGAATTTCCCAAATAAGTACAATACGCAAGTAGGTGAAAGAGGGGCACAACTTTCTGGTGGACAAAAACAACGTGTTGCAATTGCAAGGGCTTTATTAAAAAGACCCTCTATTTTAATTTTGGATGAAGCTACAAGGTAAGAATCATAGACAACACTCACTTTAACAAATCTGTATATTTAATTTCGTTTTCGTAATTTTATATATCGTTTTTATGTCGTTTAGCGCGTTAGATTATGAAAGTGAAAGAATTGTACAGAAAGCGTTAGATAATGTCACTCAAGGTAGAACAGTCGTGGTAATCGCTCATAGATTAAGCACGATTAAAAATGCTGACATTATCGTTGTATTGCAGCGAGGAGTAATCGCAGAAGTACGTATGCAAACATAAAATTCCAGGCATGACATGAAATTAAATTTACGTATTTATTATCATATCTTACTTTCAGATGGGTACACATACAGAATTAATTAAAAAGAAAGGTTTATATTACACTTTAGTGAACGAACAAGAAAAAGAAAATGCATAATGTTAATAGAATTTTAATTAGTTAAATTATAGTACAATTTTTGGAATAAATATTTATTTTAAAATAATAGGGACAATATTTAATATTGAATATTCTATAAACTACCTCCGATTCTAATATATACATACATATATAAATATACATAATTTATATTTTAAAATATATGTGATTTATTTATTATCTTTATCCTTGTGTGTATCTGTTATATTAATATTTTTAATTTAATACGTCAATGCAAATTTTTAAAATAAAAACTTATCAATGCATCTTATAAGAATTTTTCAGTGATGTAACTCCTCGAAAATTTTTTTCAAGCAATGTTTAATCTTATCAATGATACTTGATACTGCTGACGCAAGAGGTAATGCAACATTCTTTGATCTCATTTTTTCAAAATGCGTATGATTCGGTTTAGTCGCAGATTCTTTTTCTGCAACATTGTTACATACGTTCTCAGTATCTGTAATCGGAGAATGTGGACGCTTATACGACGATTTGACTGGCTCTGTGCTACTTTCGATATGTGCATCAAAATCGTCATTTGTTACGGATGTTAGATCTATTGATGATATATCAGACTCTGAAGGCATAGAATTTGGCTTCTCCGTTATTATTTCTTCAGTATTAATTTCAGGTGCTGTATTATCATTCTGCAACAAAGGTTGTTCGACGGTGCTGATCCAGCTTGTTGGTTCAGTGGTTATCATTCCATTCCAATTATTATTTGATGATTCAGTGGATTCATCTTCATTAGGAACTTGTTCATTACTTTCTTTACCATCGTCTTCTGAATTTTTTCTTGGTGTAGTTATTTCTAACGATGAATTATTTGTATCCGTTTCTGTATTTGTTTCCTCATGTGTTTCCTTGATACTAGATAACGGTGAATCAGTTAAAATATTTGGAGTAATATCAGTAATTTCAGTTTCAGTAATTGGTTCTTCAGTAAATTCTTGATTTTCCATAATAAATACTCCAGGGGTTCCGATTTCGGAGGACGGTTCAGTTGGTACTATTCCTGTAACCGATTCTCCTTTAGTTTCTTCAGATTCTGCCGTAATTTCCACAAGTGGTGGATTTATTTCTGTAGTCAATTCGTTTTCCACACTTGAACTAGATGTTAAAATTGTTGATGCAGTGTTGATTTCAGTAGTCGATTCACCCGTTGTACTAAAATCAGATTCATCGGTGGGAATTTCTAAAGACGGTTCAGTTGGAAGTATTGGTTCTTCGTTTGATTCTGAATTACTAGGAGTCGTAGCATTTTCTGCACTTCCTGATGGAGTTTGATTTTCCACATTTGGTTCCTCAGTAGTTTCGATTTCTAAGGACGTTGTAGATGAAATCGAGCTTGTTTCTGTAATTTGTTCTTCCGATTCTGTATTGCTAGAAGTTTCTGGATCGACAAGAATTGACGATGTTATACCGATGCTTTCGGTTTCAGTAGTTGAGTTTTGGCTAATTTCTTCAGAACTAGGAATCTCTGCGGATGGTTCGTTTGTACTTATTTCTGGTTCTTTATTACCGGGAGTTGTTGAATCATTTAAAATTGTTGATGCAGTGCCACTTTGCTCGTTAGAATCATTCGTTGTAGTTTCAGTATGATCTTCGGATGGCCCTAAGGTTGTAGATAATTCTTCATTATCATTTATCACTGTAGGCGAATTAACTTCAGTCGTGGCATCTTCTGCGATTGTTTCAGTTGTACGTATCGCGAGATCTGTGTTTGTAGAACGTGACTTTTCCGGAGCACGTTCCGTCGTCGTTATAATATCGCTATTATCACCTGATCCCGTGAATTCAGATATGGGTGGTACGGCGCGAGCAGTAGTTGTCGACAGAATTTTATCTTCATGCGACGTCGAAGTAGTAGTTTCTTCTTCGTCCGTAAATATCGTTTCACAATGTCTTAATTTCTCCTCTCCAGAGGATCTCGAAAGCTGCTGGAATAGGCGATCCTCGCACAAGGGTGACGGTTTTCGCTGATGACAAGTATGCGAGGGCTTGCACAATTCGGTTTCTGTATCATAAGCCGTATTTTTTGGACAAGTATAGAAATTTTGATGCATTCGATGACCGGAAACCGAGCAAGTATAAAATAAACCACAATTATTTGGAACTGGAAATGAGCCCAATTTTCGACATTCGAGATGTTGAGAGGAATCCAAAATATCCGAATTTTCTCTGTTGATAGCAGAAATATATTTTCCACGAGGAACTAAGACGCATTTTTGTAGATGAGTATCGAAGTGTCTCTTTTGAGAACATTCGGCTAATATGATTTTATCTTTTTTACAAATGTAGTAGTATCTCGGATTTGTGCAATGTGGTATTAATGTATTCGACTCGCAAGATTTTGTATTATTTATGTAAAGAGCCCTTCCACCTCCGATCACGCTCATACAATGGCCTTTGTCTTCGTCAAAATATTGGTTGATTTTGCATGGTGGATACTTCGATTTCAAGTTTCTGGGATACCTGTGTGCTCCGTAATTTATGTTATCTGTATCATCAACCTCCTGTGGATAATTAGGGGTTCATTTATCAGATTATGTATCTAGAATATAAATTAAATCGACAATCTTTTTTTCGATGCTGACGTTATTGATAATTTTCGAATAAAAAATGTCAAAAGTTCTAAAAAAAAATTCAAGTTCCTTTTATTTCATTATATTATATTCGTTAGTTTATTAGAATTATATCAAATTTACTTTATGTTATTGTTTTTAAAAAATAGAAAAAGCATTTTTTCTTGTAAATTCTAATAATAATAAGTAATAAAAGACTCACAGCTAATTCGCTCACTGGTTGACTAACTACGATTAGCACCACAAATTGCAATAGAAAAATTAAAATAAAACTCTTCATGTTTGATGATCACATTAAACAAAGTTAAGATTTTTTTTACCAATTTTGATCAGTGAAAACACACTTTTTACACTCGGTGCCGAAACTTTTCTGACCGTCGAAGTAACATGTTCAAGCATTTTTATATCACAGACGTGCTGAATAATAATTAAACTGCGATAACTACGATTATCAAAAACGTCATTTTTCATAACATACAAGTGCGTGATCAAGTTTACACACTGTTCCTAAATTGAAATTGTTTAATTAACTTGCACGTTTCATAAATTTGGAAAGTCTCTCTGATATTTAAGACGATAATAAAATGTATAAAAGAATGTGATGATCGTGAATTTAGAAGTACAGTAACAGGGAGAGAAAGGAACACCTAGAAATAAAAACAAATATTTATTAGACGACTATACTGGCAATAGGTAATAAGTCAGTAACAAATCTGTATATACAATATTTCGTTGAAATACATATCTACAAGATGATTCTCTTCTGTTCATTAAAATAGCGTACACAATAATTTTCTTTCTCAAGTATGCTGAAATAGGACTCAATTCTAGGATTGCGTATCGTTGTTCGTGATTAAAGCGGGGGCTGTACAATTTTTAGACTGATCAATCGTTATTTTTCGGTGTGTGTAGAAATCGTTTAACAATCGTATTGCGGCACTCTGTATGTAAAGTTATTACTCGTCACAATATGAATTCCTGCACCATAATATGGCATCACATAATGCGAACCATCCGCAGGTCCTACAATTTGTGTTGCAATAAGTATTACATCAGCAAATTGACCGAGAAAGAGAAACCCCAAAGTACTCAGCTTAAGCAAGCCCAATGCTGGATATCCTAGATAAAATCTATCTGCTCCGAACATTCCAAGAAATATAGAGAGTAACAATGATGTCTCAAAGGAATATCCATTTCTGTAAACATGAACATAAAAAAAAAATGTTACTTATTACATGTTGTGTTTACATCTTTTTTTACATCAAATATTAAATATTAAATCAATTGTAACATTACGCATATCTCTGTAATTCTGTTTGAAGCATTAATACTATAAATATTAGATAATATCACGTATACTTACGTCCATTTACAAGGAATATCCTTCTTAAATGTATTATTTTTTGTTTCTGTACAAATGAGGCCATCCGCAGCCAGACATAACACTGAAAACAACGTAATGAGTATATGATTTGAAGTTTCATCTGTACAAAGTTAAAGAACGTAATGAATTTATCTATCAGTGAACGAAAAGAAGGAAAAGAAATTGAAAATAACTAGTGATCGTAGAATACACGTTTGAAGCATATCTGTGGTATAGGTTATGTCGCATCTTCCTTCGTTTTGAGTGCGACAAAAAAAAAAAAAAGAACCGACAAAGTTTACGTACCTTTGGCTTTGTTTTCCTTTGTGCAACCTTTGGGCTGTTGAGTTTTCGGATCTATGAAATCATAATCGGGATGAGGACAGATGTATTGTCCCATTCGTAGGTTACTGCAGTCGATTTCATACGTGTATTCAACACCATTGCTCAGCGGTATCGAGAGAAGAAGCAAAAGGAGCCCGCTAAGGAATTGCATCAGATGGAACATGCCGTTTCATTTTACAACAATTACTACGAATACACTGTCACTGGATCCACCGTCTCTCGTAGTTTCGCGACATCCCGTGCATGTTTGTTGTATTTTGAACGTACTGCCATCAAACTGATGTCCCCCTGGCGCCAACTGCTTGGAATCTCTATGAACTATAATTTATTTCTTCTGGCGCCAGTTTTCTCGTTAACATCAAACAGATCGCATTAACAAGAAGAATTTGTTCTATAAAGTACAATAATCCTCAATTCTAACCCTTAAACTGTATAAACCAAGTACTCCAGTCGAAGTGTACGATCATCGTTTATAATGTATAATACAATACTTTTTGGAGAAGCTGAAACTCCATCCGTAAGTTTTCTTTAATAACGTATTAAAGTAAAACAGATGGCCTTGCTAATCATTAGAGCAGACGTATGGAGCAATTATAATAATTCTTTGTGACAGTACTCGATCTTGTAATTTTCTTTTTCTAGTTACGTTGCATAAGATCGTGCGTAAAGAATTTCCACGAGTCCGCTATTAAGTTGCGTTAGTGAGAGGAAACAAACAATGGAAGACCGCCGTGATAGTCGAGCATTTTTTCTGTGCTAAAATGGCTTCTTCGTCGTTGAAGAGTACTCGGAAAACTTATAGTTTCGAGGAGCGAGAAATTTTGATAACCTTGATAAACAAATACGAGGATATCGAGGATAAGAGGTCCGATCCGGTATCGATGTACAAACGAAAATCAGCATGGTCTCAATTGGCCAATGAATATAATTCGATGGTGGGTCCACAAGCGATACGTTCAGCTGTACAGTTGAGACGTTGCTGGGAAAATATGAAAGCATGCAAACGAAATCGCGAGGAGAAGAAGTTACGGTAAATATAATATATATTCGTCACGTTAACTTTCAGTATTCGTCGCCTTGTATATAAAAGCGCGGGAATATACGAATATCATCTAATCATGTGTGTCAGGGTGTTTTGTTTATCATTATTGTTTATCAATCTCATATTGGTATGTTGATTTTTTCAGTAGTATTTCAAAGAATTTTTGCCACCTATCTAAAGACCATACACGGTCGAAAAGTTGGGAAAATAGAAATTCCATAGCGGATGTTTCCATTTCTACCGGAACTATAGGTTTGCCGCCAAATGTCGTGTTTGAACCAAAGGAATCTGAACCGTTTACGTTGCAAACAGTCTGCACTATAAAGCCCCCGAAACAATCCTCAAAAGAGGAAAATAATTATAAAGACTCAGGTCTTTAGACTTATTCCCTTTATATTTTATCTTCTTCTATCTTTTTTCTTTTGCAGAAACTCTTGAATTCTATAATGGAATTTTAATTTATGAGGATTAGATAAAATAAATATCTCTGCAATGTCCATGTCTGTATTTATAATTCTATAATTGACTGATTTATCCATTTCTTAAAATATTTTATTTTTGTTTTATTTCTTAAGTGAGATCTTCTAAAAATATTTCCTCTCTTACTTTAACAATACTCTTATAAAGTTTTCTAGCTTCCAAAATAATTTTGAAATCCTTCGTTTCTATCAAAAATTAATGGCTTCATATTTTCCAAAATATAATCAATATCGTTTTTATTGCCACAGATTCTGTCAGCAGTAAAATCGATTCGAATTCATTATCACACGGTCCAGCGACCGACTGTTTCGATAAATCCAACAAGGATTCAGAGTCGCCTGTGGTTGACCAGTTAGACAAAGACGAGCTATTAGAGATAAATCGAATAACTTTCAAATCGAACGCTACTCAAACGTTGATCTCTCCATCGATTGTTCACGAACAGCCTCGAAGGATGAAGAGGTCCCTTCACAAAGAGGAAGAGCTGCACGTATTAGCCTTATCGGAAGCACAGATGAAAGTTGATATTGCAGCCATGTTGAAAGAAGAGGCCAGAATTAAATTAGAAGAGGCTCACTATCGCAAAGAGGAAGCTAGGTTGAGGATGCTTCTTTTTACGTATAAGCTTGATAGGATAAAGGAAGATTGACTGGAGAGAATAAAATGAATATACTCGTGACGCTGCGTACGATGGCTTTGTTCGTTCCTTTTTTATAGGAATAGAAAGAGGAGGGAGATGCTATTAGATTAAATGTAAACGAACGGTATTCGATCTCTGTAATATCTGTTTATTATTTGTAATTTCTTTCTAACTACAATTGAAACCGTAATAAATAAAAGCTCGTAATGCTAGCTACTTATGATTCGCTAATAATGTTTTTTAAACAGGAACAAGGAGCTTTTTCGATCCTTGTTATCGAAAACTAATTATAATTGTATAAATAATATAAATGCTCTTATTTTATAGTGCTAACTTAAAACTGAATGCGTAGATTGGAAATAATAGTAAATTTATGAGAACATCGACTTATGAGTTCAGTTTAATAGGAAATATAGGAAATACAATTCTAATTATAAATATAAAGTTAAGTAAAAAAGAGGTCTTCAATCTCGATTATTTCATAATCAAATTTGACGACGTACTTTGCAATAGTTTGGCCAGAAACTGCTTTTTAAATATTCTTTTTTATGACTGCTAAACTTAATGTATTTTTATTCCAAGATTCTACCTATTTTTTTTAAAGAAAATAGTATTACATAGTTGCAAACAAAACTGCGTTCTTCGAAAGTGTAACATATCTCGATACATATTCATAGTACGTATCTTGATAAACTGTTCATTTTTCTACTAAATCAGTGAAAGTATGTATGTCAGTTTATCGACATGGCAGTCATAGGTGGCAGTGGTCAGTGAATTTGACTAGCTGTGTTTAAAGTCACGAAAAAGAACAGAAAAGAGAAAGAGATTTCAGCGAAATGAGAAACTTACAAAAGTCTCTCCGAATCATTCAAAAACCAAGGAATCATTGTAACATGTATTATTAAACTTCAGCATCATTGAAATCAAATTCTATCAATGAATCGTGCAATTTCAATATGAACAATTTGACTGTCGTGTTAAAAATCTATCATCGATATGTCTTTTGATTGTCGATGTTTCTATTTTTTTCTATTTTCAAGAGTCAAGTATTGGACTAATAATAAGCACGCGTATGTTAAGGAGGGAAATTTCACGACATCTTCACATGAGATGGAAATTGTCATCGTGGACAGGTTTTGGCGACGAGCAACGAGCAACTTCGAATAATGATGGATCGGTGTAGATTGGTTCACTGGGGTCGAAGCCGGTTCTTCTGCTGGATGACAATCCAACAGCACCCTCCAGAGCAGTTGACGATGAGCTCACTCGTTGGCCTATCACGTTGCTCATCGATCGGGAGATCGACCTGTGCATCCGAAGAATGGTACATCAATTTTTCAGGTAATAAATTCAGAAATAAATCGAACGTGTTAAAAACATCAAATCATTTATCAAATATGACAGACGTATTTTTGACTGATTGTTGATTGTACGAGGTTGAATATAGGCTAGTGGGATATACGGGTATAATTTTCAGAATGATATATTGAATTGCTGTTTAAATTCTGTTTGATAGTGATTGGCATATTGACAATATGAGATATTGTTATATTTACCAATATTCCTAACATAAAGTAAAGTAAAAATTTACTTAAACTTGAAACAACGAATTTTTAGAAAGAAAAGATTTTTGAAAATGTGAATAAGAATTGATAGTGTTATGAAGAATATATATACAATTATTAGATAGACATATATAATTGAAATAATAAAACAAACAATATTTAAATACAATTTTTTCTAATTAATTGTAATGTTAAATCTTATTTTATTCGAAAGAAGATATTTTTAAGAGCTTTGGAACATGTTAAGAGCGTTAATAAACGTTTGACAAACTACATACGTAGATTGAAACGGTTTCTGAAGACCCGTTCTCAGGAAAGAGAAGTTATTAGCACGACTGCTGTAAGCATCGTCCGAATGATTGCTTCGATTACATACTTTGTCAACTCTACGGTTCTTCGTGATTACCGTGTAAGCGTATTTTCTGAAACAGTTTACATGAATTGATATGGTAAACATGGAAACAATCATCTCAGAAGAAATTAGACATCTGCAATCTACCTGTAAATTAACATGGATAATAAAACCACAGATGCTAGAAGTACTACGAGCACCGCGACTGCTGTTACCAGTCCATAATACTCGTTAGGAGTTATACAAACGTTCTCCATAATGGTAGTTTGTTTCTCAACCATTGTTTCTTCGTCGATGTCCATTCTTGAATCCAAGACCTGCAACTCGTTTAAACGTAATATTTTTTTTATTTTCTCTTGAATTCATTTGTTTTTTAATGTAGAAAGTAGGAAGAAAATATACGTACTTTTAGTGATATATAAAAATTTAAAACAATATATCAAGTTGCACGTATTGAAGTTTACAAAATGAAATTTACTTTTTAAAATTTTGATGAAATTTAATAAGGCTTTAATTCAGTTAATTTTCATAGAGATTTAAACAAAATTATGAAAGAGGGGACAGTGAAATGTGAAACTGATACAAAAGATCGCATTATTTTCTTCATGACTATAGAAGAATGAAGAGTATGATAAGTTTCATCCTTTTCGGGTCCTACCTCGATCATTTCTCTCACATGTTCCTCTTCTTCCTCCTCTTCCGCATTATCACTGTCATCTTCAACGACTGTCGAATTCAACACAAGGGACGTGTCATTTATATTATTCTCCGTTATTGTACTTATTTCATTTTCTTCTGCGATGGTATCGTTTTCTAACACGTCTCTTCTGCGTCTTCCAAAGGATGGCTCGCTCCTTCCGGTACCACCGGAACAGTAAGCTGGTTGACAGCCGTCTCGACACGTTCGTACGGTCGCTTCAAACACTAAGAAATTAGACTCGGGGATTTTGAAAGCGTTGAAACGCGCTTCCAGACTGTCACCATCTCTCAAACGATCCAACCCGGGGAATACGTAATTGTCCACTGGACAGCTGTGCGAACAAATCACATTGGTATTGTATAAAGATTTTATCTTTCGAAATTTTTTTTCACGAGTTAATCCATCGTTACAAAACTGGAAAATCTCTAAAGTTTTGTGATAAGCCCTGATTGATTAGCCCTGTACGCTGGACATGTTAGAATATGTTAGAACATATTTACATATGTTAAGTGGGTCAGGTGAACATATAGGTCGAGTCAGATGGTCATATCAAGGTATAGCGAGGTACAATAAATTTAGGCACAGTAAGATAGCAAGGCCAGAACAAACGGATTATGTAAATTAGATAGATGGAATGATATAAATGAATTAGGCATTTGATACAATTGATACAAATTAAATTACGTAATTAAATAAATAAGATATTAGACCGTGTATAAATTTAAACAAAAAAAAATGAATAATGCACTTTCTGCAATATTGTGCAACATCCACGGTTGTGGATGATAATATATTATAATAGCCATATTTTGAGTGCTTTATGTACTCTCGATGTTTATCCATTAAAATCGGAAGCACCCTGTGAACATGAACAGCAAAGTTCCATTACCTCGATCGATTCTGTTGTTACTGAGCCAATCAAATGTTTTTTATCGAACACGTGGAAATAGAATATCTCCTTTATTATTTTAGTAACAAAAATTAAATTTTACCTTAAATACTACTGTTGTGTTGATATCTATAAATATTTATTAATAGTTTGTTGGATATTAAAAAAAGTAGAATAAAGGCATGTTCTATCTATAAATTACACATTATAGATTAGCTATTAACGAATAAAAATTATAATAATTTATACAACACTTACCCATATCTGTCTATTAGTTGAACACTTCTTCCAGAGTATGGATCTCTTGCTATGACATTAGTAGCAAAGATGTCAGTCACATAATTGTACCTTTAAAAAATATTAACAAAATATTACAATATAAATTTCAATTTCTTTAATGAAGTTTATGATTAGTCCAGTACAAAATTTTTATTTTTGTAGCAGACCAAAGTTTTATGTTTTGATTATTTGTAGTTTTAGTGTTAAGGACTTCTAAAAAAAATTGACGTTAGAGAATACACTGGGAAGAAAGATAAATGTTACGTACCCATCCTGAGCTTCCAGCCTAAAAGTGAGTGGATCACCAACAGCGATGGTTGTCGTAGGTCTGCCTTGATAAAGAATCAGCAAACGTACTCGAGAACTTAGAGTATTTTCCGCTGGAAGATATTCGATTGGAATTGGAGACCCTGATCTACACAACATAAGTGCGAATTTCATTAGCATAATCGAAACAGAGGTATCTTTATTTTTAGTTTTTAAAACATTAAGAACGTAGACACTTTAATACCTTGTTTCATATTAAAGTAATAAAATTTTTCTTCGTTGTTAAAGTTAACTGCAAGTATTCACAGTCAGTTTCGGTGTCTATAATTCCATTTTGAAAAATATTAAAAGGAGCATTAAATATAAATTAAATTCAAATTTTCTACTCGCTAAAGTCTATCTTTCTTTAAAATATCAGTTTTATCCGCATCGACTGAAACAAGCCACACGAGTGTCTCTTCTCAATTTTGCACAAAATATAATTCAAAATTCAAGATAATGGAATCAAAGTGATCCTCAACAATGAAACTTGAACTCGATATTAAAATAAATTTCTCGAGTGTGCTTGCACCAGGATTCGTGTTAAGTGAATGCGACACATTCTGCATTCCATACTCGATGACAGATCGGACTGTTTAATTAAGTGTACCGGGTGCAAGGCACGGTCTCTCAATCGATATGACCTGGCATACCCGGCACCGATGTAGCCGGATGTGACGACAGCTTCGCCAGGACCTCGAAATAGACAGGTGAGATTGAAGCGTTTGTCCCTTCCTGTTTGCACATAGTCCGAGAATTGTACCACGACGATGTTCGTCATTGTGTCTCCATACTGCAATCGTACGTCGAATGTAATCACTATTCATAGATTAACATGCGGCGAAACATTTATTAAAGATATCATTATTACGCTGAGTTCTGTTGATCGAAAGACAAGCTACAGAAAAGTAAATTTAAAAATTCTAAATAATCTGTCAGCCTCTTAAAAATGATTGAATATTAAACATGCTTTCGGAAATGTTATTTGTACATGTTTGGGCAAGCAACGACAAAAGTAATTCTCTTACTCTTTGAGTACCGCATTCAGGATAACCTTGGGGACCACTGATCCGAAGAACATTTACGGTTCCCCCGTTTCCGCGGAAGAAGCAGCGATCATAATAGCCGTAAGTGTAAATCCGACCAATGAATCCTTCCGGTGTCCTCAAAGTAAATTCCATCCCGTCCTCGCTACACACTTGACTCACTAGAACGACCAGAAACACAATTTACTTGCTCTCTATTAATTTTCAATTAGCAAATCGTAAATACCTAAGGCAAATACAAATAACGAGCTGAAAATTATAGCGGTGTAAATCTAAATAAAGATTTTTACAATTTAAATTTAGCCACGTGTCTCAATTCCGCTGATTAAATTATTACAGTCTAACAACTCTGGTAATTCTGATAATACTGATTTACGCCATTATAATTTACAATCAACTAAGTAACAACATCAAATTCAAGGACCCTCCCACTTCGTTAGAAAACCAAGGGAGAACCGATACCAACGGATGTGACCAAACAAAAAGCAAAAAAAAAAAAAAAAGAGAGAGGTAGCTCTTGGAAAAATCAGACGATTTATTTTGCTAAGCTCAGTCCAGATGACAATGTCTGTACAATAATTCAGATCTGCATCAGTAACGGTTGTAATATGGACCGGCAGCGTAAACGTTTCTCCACGTGACCCACGTAGACGGCATCCAAGGTGTCCTACGACGCTTACCATCCAGACACTCTGCATCAGCCCCTTGTCTGCCGTTATTCCTTTCGTAGAAGTCGTAATCAGAGCCGGTGTCGTAGTACACAGGATTGCCCATGTCCATGTCCCTGGAGTCACGGTCGCTCAGCTCGCAGTTGTCTCTTTCTGCGCCGTAGGGAGCAGCGTACGGACGATAATTGAACGATCTGCACACGAAGTCCCTAGCATCGGCACACTCCCTTTCGCATTGGGCCAACGAGGACGCTGTCGTGTATCGCCTGACGAATGGTTTGCGGACTCGAGTGTGCGGCCCTACTTGTCGGAAGTTGTCCTGTTCGTCGCATCTGGACACGAGGGGCGGCCGACCGATAATTGGACCACCGCTTGTACCGAAAGGTCGCGAATTGTACACTCCACCTTCGCCTATGTAACCGCCGCCGATTATTCCGCCGTCGTTGCTGTAACCACCGTAGCCTAAAGGACGCGTGGATCCTCCTACGTTGTAGTGATTCCGATCTGGGTGACCCTGAGGACTGTAGATGTCGTCGGGATAGTTTGGAGAGTATCCTCCGTGCGACGATGGTGGATATCTGCGAATGGAAAAGAGAATCATGTTGGTTGTGTGGAGTGGATATTTAGGATGGACGCGAGAGAGTGGATTTACAATTAGTGCTCAACAGTTATGCAACGCTCATTCTAATTCATGCTCTTTGTAAAAGTATAAAATCTAAAAGTCCATATCATATCATATTTTGTCTATAAAAATCATAACTTTCTCCAGAAATATTGGAAATTGATTATATTTCTAAAAGCTCGAAAACATTCCAATCAACTTACCGATTCGGATAAACATCCTTCTCAGGATATCTTTCGCTAATGGGATACCGATCGACGTGAGGCCTGCCACCAGCCATGCCGGACGGATACCGATCCAGAGGATCTTCGGGAATAGGATACCGGTCTATGCTATTCGGATACCGATCGCTATCGCTGGGATAACGACCCGGAGATATTGGATATCGATTAGCAATCCCGCTGGGGTATCTACTACCACTTGTTGGATATCTATCTACCGCAGGATCTGGGATAGGATACCGATCAGGATGAATAGGACGACGATCGCCGCCCCTGATTGGAAATCGATCAGAGATTGGATATCTATCTGAAGATGGATATCGATCCACCATTGGATAACGATCGCTCACAGGATAACGATCGCTGATAGGATAACGATCTACCGGGTCAGGAAACGTGTCCCCTGCTGCTCCAATTGGATATTGCCCGTTTAAAGGATATCTTTCGGGATATCTGTCAACTGGATAACGATCAGGATAACGATCTGGATATTTATCAGGATAACGATCTGGATATTTATCAGGGTAACGGTCTGGATATCGATCTTTGTCAGGATATTTCTCGGGGTATCGATCTGGATATCTGTCAGGGTAACGGTCTGGGTAACGATCGGGATAACGATCTGGGTAACGATCTGGATAGCGATCCGGGTGACGATCCGGGTATCGATCTGGATATCGATCTGGCTTTGCGCTGCTACTGAACCCCTTGTCGTAATCCTCTGGATAACCTGCGTGGAAATTTGAAATTCGTTTGGATTAAATAGATGTATATATACGTGGGTAATAATTATTATTGTTGGAGTTATATATTGTTTATTGAATTAATCTCAGATATTCTTTGAGATATATAAGAATACGAAGAACTGAAGTATAGTAATAGATTATTGAAGTTGTTATTGGTTTACCAGGTCTTCCTAGAGAAGGCCGGCCGAAATTGGTATCTTGCCCTAATGGATCTGGTCTGTACCCTGGACTATCTCGGTCTCCATCTAAATATTGATCTATTCATACAACATTGCAACAGAATCATAAGTAAATTTCAGAATTTCTACGATCATTCAGAGAAGATTTTAAAAATAATTAAAACCTGTAGCACCGGGACTTGAATTTTGAAGATTCAAATTTACTAAAATCCTGTACGTAAAGAGCGACGTACGTTGTTTCCGATTTCATCGATTCAATTAAACTGCGATTGTAATTAAACTGCGAATTTTTATTCATTCTTACATTCACATTTTTTCAAGGCACAACTAAAGAAATCTACTTCTCTAAGTTTCATCTATTAAAATGAGTAAAAATCTATTATGTAACTGACGTTGTGCCTTTAACGTGGTCATCACTCACGCATAAGATTCTCGTAGTAATCGTAATCCGCATCGTAGATGATCCTGTGCCCGTCACGCTGATTGAATCGGCTCAGCCGGCAGGTGTGATAATGTTCCGAATACACGGCGCTCCTGCATTGGAAACTGGTCTGTCGAAGACATTCGTCAAGGCATTCGCTCAGACTGCGTCCAGTTATCTCGGAGTGAAATTCACCGCTCAAACGGGAGTTTCGATAACGTTGAAACGCTGTATCTGGTCGTCGTCCATCAGAGAAGAGATGCGACGTGGAGCTGCTGTCTGGATATTCGGAGCCACGTGCTACGGACGGATCTACGCTTCGTAAGTGGGTATTGGTAAAATGTTGTAAGGTATTAATTGATCGTATCACTGTTATCCAGGTTCAAGGACACGAAGACAGTCGAATGCTTTCATTCCCTTAAGGAATTTCTTTTCTTTTCAATCTTGGCATTCAAATTTATGATGAAGGATCTTCGAGGATTTTGATAGTAATTAAGTTAATTAATAACAGTCAATTTATCATAATAAATGATAATGGATGTTTTGATAGATTCATGATAAATCAATTTACATTGATTGGTTATGTCTAGTAAGGTAATAAGTCGTATTATGCTCGAATAGTATTGTAATTAACCAATACAATTTGCCAAATTGACAATCTTTACATTTCTAGTCTGCCAGATAAAGAAGAGAAAGTAGTAATAGATATTATGCAAAAGTGTTGACCTAATATACTTACGATTGTCTAAACAAACCAAATCATAAAAATGATGGCTAGGGCTGCTGCTTATTCCAATATCGTCCTTCTGAGATACGGAATCTTCTTCTGAAATGACGCATTGCCGCGTTTGCTCGTCGAACTCGACGCTCCGACAGAAATACTTCTCAGCTCTTAAACAAAGGGCTTGACATTCGTCCAGAGTAAGATTCGTGTAAATGTCCACCTCGAATGGTCCACGAAGACGCTTGTTCTCTTCTTTGACGAATACCGCTAATCCGTCGCAACGACGTTCCGCTGTTGAATCAAAGAATCGAATGACGATCAGTAATTATAAAAGTAAAAAATAATTAGTAAACAATAAACTATAAAAATTCGGTAATTTTACTACTCAATGCTTAAATAATTTGAATGTTTTTAACTATTAATTTTAACTATTAACTATTAATTTTAACTATTAATTTTAACTATTAACTATTAATGAGAGTTTTTAACTATTAATTTTAATTATTAACTATTAATGAGAGTTTTTAACTATTAATTTTAACTATTAACTATTAATGAGAGTTTATTACTATTTAGTAAAACTTTGGGAGGAAATTGTTGTTAAGTACCATTCAGACAAGTGTTTTCGAGATAATCGGAATTCGGATCGTCTTCCAACAATTCAGGATGTGTTCTTCTGGTAAAACGACTGAGAGCGCAGCTTCTCAGAGCAGTGTCATAGGTGGCGGATCGGCAAATGAAACTGAACTCGTTCAAACATCTTCAAAATATGGTATAAAATTTATGGTGTATCGATGAAATATTCCCAAGTAGATTCTTTTAAATTCTACAATACCTATCCTCGCAATCTGTCCTATTTGCCGCGCTAACTTCCTTGATATCTGTCAATGGTAATTTTAGTTTTTTCCTGGGGTGTCTCTCGAACACGTAACGCCGATTTGGACATTCTCTTTCGATTCTATCGGCTTCACAGAACAATGTAACCGTTAAAAACTTTTAATTAAAACAGCAATTGTAGGAATTAAAAATTTTCAAAATAATTGGAAATAACTTTTTCACAAATTACTGCAAAATGATCAATACTTTTTCAAATTAAAATATATTGATTATCAATATAAGAATAAAGAAATCATAGAAATTTAAGTTATGGTTTCTCTGTGATGTTCGAGAGTTATTAGGATGTGTAATACTGACAGCCAAGACAAACTTCTGTGAAATGAACGCTGTTTGGCACTAGCATCAGGTTTCCAATTCCTTCTGGTTGCGCCTGTTCTCTCGTTAGGTAACAAGTGCTTTCTTCATATTCAGCAGCCCCGCTGAAAGAAGCTATTCTGCTGCCAGGTTGGAAATCAAAGCTCGTGCAAGCACGAACTAAATTGTTCGTCGCTGTTCTATCCCGTAGACATAATTCTTGACATTTTTCCAAGACTCTGAATGGCGGTGCCGAGTCTCGTACCTGATGATAAATTGGCCAGATTGAAATTATCATAATACTAAATCATTGTCTTTCAAACAAAATGAACGAAATGCTTTGCTTTTCACTCGCTTGAAATTTTCAAACATGTTATCTGATTTATTATTATATTTGATTGTTTGACAGTATTTAATATTCAATTAATTTTAATCAAAAGCTAGACTATCCTCTCTGCTATTGCTGTAAATCAACCTTTCAATTTTTTTTTTCAGACTTTACATTCTATCGTCAGAAAAAAACGAGCGAACAGTTTCCTTCGAGTAGGCCGAATATTTGAAAATCGACCACACGGATCACAGAGAGATGGATGAATATTTTACGAAACGTTTTATACCACATCGTCGTCGAAACCCTGAAGTTGTTGGTCCGGAAGTCTCTCGTAAACGACTCGACCTAAGCCGCCATTGCACGTTGTTTGTCCTGAAAACACAGCACGCCAGTTCTCTTGTTATCGTTTGTTCGCGATACCGCGTTCAATAGCTGGTATTTTTATATGCTTCCCTCTTATTTTCTCGTAAATAGATATTATTATTTCCTGTTCCTCTGGCAAAAACCAGGTTACTTCCTTTGCGAGCGAGCGACCACCGTCAGAACGGCGTACGATTTTATCGTTCGCGTATTTTTTTTCTTTCTTTTTTTTTTTTCGTGTCATAAGTGACACATACGGCGATACAATGGGACGAAACGCAATTTCGCAAGCGAGCAAGTGACATCACTCTTTTACGCAGCGTCCTATCATTAACTTCCGTGGCCGCGATTCTTTCAAATATGATCCATGAGATATGCAAAAGAAATTCTTTTTTTCATAGTGCTGAGTGGTTTATTCAGGGCTGAATTTTTGTGTAATTTTTCTTTCTCTTTTCTTTTTGATTTGGGTTAGATTGCAAGAATAGAAAGTGGTAACTGTGAGTTGGTACATTTTTCTTCTTTTAATTTTCATGATAACTTACCATTGACCACTCTCAAGGTAGCGAGAACAGATATGGAGTGTAGTAGATTCGATACGTTAGTTTTCTTCATCTTTTTGTGTTATGAAAGCTCGATATCAAGTAGTCATCCCAACGGAGAGATTCTGAAATCATGTGTTAAACAAAAAATATTGTACAGTATATTATTTGTAAGGATTGCCTTAAACCTGAATATTCACGTTTCTAAAATAATTTGATTCACGATTCAATCGTTTCAGGTTTCTGTAAGAAAACTAATGAACACCCCCAAATTACTACAAATAATGTAATCCTTCTAACGTTGAAAATTGTTCTTGTCCTCAGAATAACTTTTTTATCGTCTAGCAAGTACGAAATGTTATCTAATTTTATAGCAGAGTTTAAATTAGGAATAGACGCATCTATAGCAGCTATCAATGATGATTAACTACATCAAATTCATTTAAAATTTCCAAAATTTCCATCTTTTTGCAGAAAACGTTTATGTACATGGATAACAGTGATCGAAAAGATACCGAGCAACTAATAATGTAATGCTTGAAAGTTGGAAGCACGGTTCGTTGGGTTTACGGGCGTGTGCTGGTCCTTTGCGTGTACGTGCACGCGCTGCGTTAGAGAAAAGGTTGACGGGGTTGCGAGCGTGTGGAGGTGTTCAGGGTGAGTGCAACTCAGGAATTCCATAAAACCTTCCACTGTCTCTCTACACACTTTGAATATATCGAAACCGTTCATTGGACTGAATCGCGTTTTCTTTATCACACTTGCACGCTTCGAAGTTACTTTTTCATATGGTCAAATCGTTTTATATTGATATCTTTCACGAGGAATTCATGGGTATGCTTCTGCTTTCGTATCGCGTCAATGTTAAAAATAGGAGATGTTTTTTTGTACGCGATAAAAGACTTACAACAGCATGTGCCACGAGGTTTGAAACTATAAAAAGGATGGTATTTTAGAAATGCATGATGCTTGGTCGCTGAGGAATTTGAATATTGTAGGGGCTCCTGAGTAGAAAAGATGTTTCAATATTTTTAGTAGTTTCAGCAATTTGTCTTTCAAGTATTTACTTCTAGTAATAGAAATGTTTTTTAAGACATACTGCTTTGGGGATTATTTATTAATAATTAATTAATTAATTAATAGTATATTGTTGAATACGTTTAATAAATGTTTAAGTATATTTTTATCATAATGCATAATTAAATTTATTTTAAAAATGGTATCGTTTAATCAAAGTTAAACTTCCAGTAAATTGGCGTTTGTTTTAAATAAATATTAAAACAAATATTTATCAAGAAAACCTGCTAATTTGCAAATTATTAATTGTGATACACATGCAAATTTTACACATTTACAGAAACGGTGCTTATTAATTATGTCATGGTTTATCGCCTTTATAATTATAGTTCTCAGTTCAAAGAGGATGGGTGCTCAGCGACTAATGTTACGGTCAATGAGAGAAAATTATACATTCGGGTCATTTCGAATCATTGATGTATGTATTATATTACCATATTAAAATAATATCGTGATTGCATGTTATTGAATTTCATACAATCGTGCTCTTGTTTCAACAGTCATACGTCAGTTTAATTACAATACACGTTTAATATGGAATTTGTTGGAATTTTTAATATTTAAGATATAATCTAATGAATATAATTTTCCGTTATTAAATTTTTAGCTTCTTCGATACGTTTTCTATATATTCCGTAAATATATATTCCTTCTTTAAAATGAAACATTGTTGCATCCTGGAAATATCATTTTTGACGTAATCTCGCTACGAAAAAAAAAAAAGAGATTTTATCACGATGCCTTGAATAATAGATGATACGCGGATAACATTGTTGCGTGCTTCAAACAATTTTCATATTCTTCAATTACGCGATATTTATGTTCGTAGGAGGTCACAGTATTATAATTTATAATATAATATAATTGTATATAATATAATATAATTTATAATATAATATAATTGTTAGTTTTAGTTGTGTCACTTAGAAGCAATTTAACTGTTTGACAAACAACATTTTAGAAGTTTTTTGTATATAAATGCGAAGATCAGTCTTTCGTGTAAATTAATTAGAATTATTTCAATGTTGCAGTACTTTTTTTAATGAAATTGCTTCGTTCCTCTTTCATAAAAATTAGAAATGAATAGGATTTTTCCAGTTTAAAACTAAACATGAATGCTGAATCTCACGTTTTCATTAAAATTTTAATTTCTTCAGTCAACGCTTTTTAACTATAAATTTTTCGTTTCTCTGTGCCAGAAAGTAATAAAAACTGAGTGCGAATATGATTTTTAGATTTCGAAAATCCAATAAACATTATCGTATCTCCCTCTTGACTCAAAGCTTCCAATTAAAACTTTCTGTAGTCCTACAGGCTATGAAATCGGAAACTAGTACATTTCAAATCTCAGTCGCTATCAGAACTCCCTCCTTTTCGAGTAGCCAGTTTAATTCACAATTTTCGATTGAAACATATGGGTATCAATTATACTTACCAGCGATAATAACGAATTTCAGGTATCTGTCCACTTCGAGAGCAAACGATTTCACGCAACGAGAGGTCCCTCCTCTTCTCGAAAGTCTCCCTGGCACCGTCTGTATAATTGACGAGCGGACTGAAACGCCAAACGCGGCAAAATGCACCTGGATTGTTCATCCAACGCGAATGGCACCTGTAATCAAACTGACGGTCAAAATCAGTGCAAACCGTGGAAATAATGGATAACACCTGACCGGTCGCGGTGCCGGGAGGGGAGGTGACGCCGTTGGAAGAATTGTTTCGATGAATGATTCTTGGATAGACGAGCCATAGGGGGCAGAACAGCGGAGGAGAGATAACGCCACCGGTGGTACACAGGCGCGGTGGGATCCCCACGTCCGATTTCTGGCCTTGTGCTCACCGGAAGCAGCTCCATTGTGTCCGGTTTCCGTGGGGCCATCCGGGAAAACGTTCGACGTGCGTGTAAACGCCACGACCGTGGGTTCTCAAGCCTCGTCACATTCTCATTCTAGCAAATAATATCTTTGCCTCTACACTTGTCTCCGATTGAAACTATTTTCTATCAGTTATAAGATACACTTTAGAGGGTGAAAGATATTTTGTGTTTTATCAAAAGAGATCTACGACTTTTTTCTTTTAGATACTGTGGTTGGGTTTAATGTGATTGTAGAGATCTTCAAGTAACGTGGACGACCCCCCGTGGTTCTTCATTTGAGAATCGATGCACTAAAGCGTCAGCCATGTCGCGTCGGGTTGATTGTGTCGATGGACGATCGCCCGGTCGCTCGTAGCGGAATCATGGATTAGAGATTTCCACCTGAGGTCAACTAGGATGAACAACGAGCTGGTATAGGTGGTCTTCGTGATCTGTCGATGCGGGCTGATGTCATTTGTTCTTTATTGCTTGACTATTTTTAGGCTGATTTTTATTTTTATGCAGATTTTCGAAGCACAAAGAAAGTAATCTGTTTTCCTTTTCGAAATCAGCTTCGGATGATCATAGTAATTTTAATTAATTTTGTTTGTCATTGGTCAATGGAAAATGATTCTTTTATTAAAATATTGTTAATTGTAACGGAGTTATAATTCCTTTTTATAAATTAATTGTTTGGTATTAGAATTAAATTAAACCTTGACGCTTAAGATAATTTTAATTAATCGTTCGTTATAAGTTTTCATTCGATTAAAATTAAAATGTAATCTCTTGTGGAATACCGTGAATAGATAATCTATTATGATATCATTATATGTGAATATACGATTCTGGTTTTTCCCAAGTGGAATTAAGATTCTTCTACGCTCATTTAAAACATGAAATGATATCATAGTGTATAAAATAAGACAGATTATTTGTTTATATCAAAATTTTTTTTAAAATTCTTTCGCATACTTATTTATATGATAATTTCTATTTTACATTGCACGCTTGATTTTTAAAATTTATTTACGTAATGAATTTAAATAATTTTATATTCTACTACTAATATTATATCGTCAGAAATAATCTTTTTAGCGATCAGACATTAGTAACTATGGTAAAACATTGAAGTGGAAATTCAAAATTTCCCGCGTTTCACACGCACTGATATTGGTCGCATTCTATTGGTCGAGTCGATCTCTATTCTCTTTTCCTATGGCAAGAACTGTCAAGCATTCGATAGTTTGGCACAGTCAGCTGATGGCAAGATGCAATTAGACGCTTCCTGTGATATTTCACGAAATCGATTGTAATTTACGTGTTTAACCGTGAAATTACCCGAGAATCATCGACTCGCGATCTGTTTGCCTTCTACTTCAAATTTTCGAAGGAATTTAGGTGAGAAAAATCGTAGTTTTATTAATATTTGATGCACTTAAGTGACCACGTATTGATTTACGATAAATTCATGGTGCAGCTAAAGTTAACGATAGTTAATACAACGTTGTAGAACTTTCTTTTAACGCTCGAATGGTTAACTCGCATAAAAAGGATCATTTTAAGAATTTTACTCGGCGCTCTTTAATTTCTGTCTGTTATAGAGGTTAAGATACATATTTTAATAAATTCACTTTGCTAAATTGAAAATACACGATATATAAAATATACTGTGTAATTACAGCAACATACACGTTTATTTATAACGCATGTTTTTTTACAGGATCCACAAGACTTTTTATACTCGTTTAACTGAAGCAATTCTACCAAAAAACAAAATGCCTCTAAGTGCAGGTAAATGCAAATTTAATATATTGAAACATATGCATCAATTTTAATAAAAAAAAGTGTTATAAATTCATGCATTTCCAAGAGGAATATCCATTAAGTTATATTAATTGATAATTTTTTTCAGACATATCCACAGCTCTTCATTTATTGGAGCACGTTCAAGAAAGGGTGGAGGATTGCAATGACCCAAAGCTACAAATGCACACAACTCAAGATATTAAGTCATTGATTTCTCTTCTGGAAGATCCGGTATTCCGCAGCATAGTGACGATTCAAGATTCGCTGATCGAACTGAACAGTCAACTGGGACAGCATCCATCTATCATCCCTGGCGATTTTGACATCAATATCAGTGGACAATTGGAACTCTCTGTCCCTAGCACACCAGTGCAACCACTTGGATCGAATGTGTATCAAGATCTATATCAAGATAGCAGTGAATTAGAAGATCAAAGGGTTCCAGTTGTTCCATTAGTGCACAGCAGCAGCGAGGATACCAGCGCACAGGTAAAATTTTGTTTAGTATGTGCTTTAAATGCACTCCTGACTTCCTTTTTTGTATTTAGCACTAAACTATCATTTTGTGGTAGGTTACAAGTCCAAGTCTTGTATCTGAGGTTATGGGAATGCCTCCAATTACAACAACAACGTATGCTAAGGAATTCAAGAAAGTTATTGAAGCTGCAGCTAGAGGACGTCAAGTATTCACCGTGCAGGTTAATAGAATATATCTCATGTGGCGTTTATTTGATATTTAGGGATATTAAGTGTTATCATTTTTTTCTTCAAGTTGTATAAACCAGAAGGTACGAGTCTTGGATTTAGTGTGGTCGGTCTTCGCAGCAAGGACAAAGGAGAGCTGGGTATCTTCTTGCAGGAGATACAACCGAAAGGCATTGCTGGCTGGTAAGTCCATCTTTCGTTCGTAGGATTAGTTATTCAGTAACATTAGAAATCACAAGCTCGATTATTTAATCGAAATATTCGTAGATCACAATAAGTAGTTAGATAGTTTTACTTTCATGATATGTAGAATATATACACGTACTTTTCTGGGTAATTTTGAATCACATTCGGCCATGTTATAAACTGCAGAAAATTCTGTCGTGTTTATATAATTAATATATCGCGCGTTCCTTTTGAATTGATGACATCATAACGTGTAGATTATATAAGTAACAATGGAATCTTTCGTGGAATGTTTCATAACACAATTCTACAATTGATTTTGAAGATGTAGAGTATTTTTATTACCACATTCATTATCTTTACTATAAGAATAAATATTCAGGCGTATCGTTTAAAGCATTTTGTGAGCAAATTGAATTGATATCTTTCATAAAAAGTAGATATATTTGTAGCTCGTGTAAATTAAGTTAAAAGGTCCTTATTTCTTTTTAAACTCTTTAAAAACTTTCAATTTTTATTTAATTCCGTTATCAAGGAAATGCTTGCATTACAAGTAAAGGCAGTTTGTATTTAATTAAAATAAGAAAAGAATTTTCATCTTAATCATTCAATCAGCCAATCAATTTCTAATAGATATTATATCATTAACCAATAGTTTAGAATTATTATTTTAATTTTGAAAAATTCTGTTTTCAATCAGATATTGTAAATAAAAAGCGCTCAAATATCGATTACACTTTAAAATTCAAATTTTTCTAGAGTCAAGTCAATCTTAAACTCTAATCGTGAATTATAGAACGATTCTAAACTTTTGGATAATGGTTCCATTCAATAGACGAAGTTAATCTTTCTATAGCAGGAAATAGGGAGAGACAGCCTCGTGATTTGAAACATCATTCGGATATTCAATACTCTTGTTGAAACACGCAAATGCGGTTACGGTTACATTATTCGATATTCGTGCCGAATATTGTTTTGGCTCCAGTCGATAAATTAATGCGAATCACGGTACATGAATATTCGTTTGTTCATGCCACGTAAACTCGACAGATACAGAAAATATTAATATCGACGTCGAAGGACAGACGTGTGGAGATAGCATTTCGAGCATAAACATATCGCGAATATTCGTGAAAAATGTCGAATATTTAACACGTTTTGTTTTGATATGAGTTATCGATAATCCATGACAATCAAATAACTTAATTAAATCGTATCTTAGACGAATATATTATGTAATATATTATGATATAAAGAAAATTTAGGAATTTTCAAAAATTCGTTACAATAAACTACGTTCGCTTTGACCGCATAATTCAATGCGGTTTTATCGTTCTGATTTATAAAAATTCATATTTTCTTCTTTCATTGAGTGTCAATTAAGATAGTTACTAATTTATCGGTTGTCACTAAAGAGAAAAATTTAAATTCGTTTAAGCATCATTTATCGTTTATGTATCATTGTGTTAAACGTGTTGTTCAATTTATTACAATACAAGAATTTAGCAAAATGTAATATAGAGAAAAATGCGAGGTATTTATTTCTATTAAAAATATTTCACGTGGTTGGGAAAGATTTGGTGGTAGTTCGATCGAAAAACGTACCTTTGAAAATCATGTATACATATGTGCAAATATTTCTTGCATCCCATTGTGTATCTGCAGAGAGCATGTTTTGTTACGAACGATTGGTGGAAGGAATATAGTGCGGTCATAAAATCGGCAGGGGTGTCAAAATGTACACATGGCTCGGAATAAAAGATCTGACGGATATATGGGTTTCAGCTTCGTTTCGTGTGACCACCACAATTGTGATTTGTTTTTATCAGTGCAATTTTGGAATGCACTGCTTAGCATAGACAATTTGCAAAAAACAAAATAAACTTTGAATGATATGATCTCATTTTTCGAAATATTCTCAAACATATAAATTTATAAAAATGATTGTACAGGGTACACTTTATATGACATGAAATTTTTCTTCATCTCCCATATTTTTGCAATATATAATACTAGTCGATTGAGAGAGACAATATCTATCGAATACAGAATTTGTAACAAAATATTCGTTTCATGTTCTTTGTTCATTATTCGTATCTTGAAGCGGAAAATATATTGTTTGTATTTTTAACATAGCGTTGTATCCTATTGTCCTTTTACACCGAATTTAACATGTAAAATGTTTACAATTACTTAAAGTTTTACTCTTTTTTTTTTGCGATTACTATTTCCTGAATAATTGAATAGAATACAGTATAGCATGAATATTTTTATTCATGTAATTTACAAAAAAATCATTCAGGTTTTAATAGAAGCAACTATGAAATTATAACTCAAGAGTTGTCAACTCTTATGTCTTATTAATATCTTCCCTAAATCTTCCCTATATCAATCAAACAGAATTTAATTTTTGTTAACACTTAAAGTTAATCTCTGAAATTTTCTAAGTTATATTTATAAAGATACAAATTTCCTATAGATGGGAAATGACCCTCTACCAGTTAATTAAAATCTTCACCCTTATCTAGTTACCGAAACACTGCTTCATTCTTGTTAAAGTTCAATCGTCGAACTCTGAAATTTTCTAAATTATTTTTATAAAAATACGAATATTTTCCACAAATATCCGTCCATCACCAATTAATTAAAATCTTCATCCTTATCTAGTTACCAAAACACTTCTCCATTCTTGTTAAAGTTCAGTCTATGAAATTTTCTAAATTATTTTTACAAAAATACGAATTTTCCATCCTCCGCCAATTAATTAAAATCTTCATTCTCCTTCAATCTTCTTCCTTATCTAGTTACCGAAACACTGCTCCATTCTTGTTTAAAGTTCAGTCGTCGAACTCTGAAATTTTCTAAATTATTTTTATAAAAATACGAACATTTCCCACAAATATCTATCCTCCGCCAATTAATTAAAATCTTCACCCTTATCTAGTTACCGAAACACTGCTCCATTCTTGTTTAAAGTTCAGTCGTCGAACTCTGAAATTCTCTAAATTATTTTATTGATAAAAATACGAATATTTCCCACGAATGTTCACCATTTGCCTTTAGGCTTGCTTAATTATCCAAAAACGTTCTTCTTAATGTCCGATCGTTAACCTCTGCAACACCCTGTAGACACGCTCGATGTGCACCACCAGGCGTGCTTCTTGGCACACCCCGTGTGTACAGTGCGTTGATCGGGTGGTTCGTGGCACGCATGCCCGGTTACCTCTGTCCGGAAGCCTCGCCACCGTGGAGAAAACGATGCTTTCGAAAAAGAGGCCTCCCACTTTCGCCCGAGCAGTCTTCGACTGATCCTCGAGCGAGAAAGGTCGTCGCGGTGTTGGACGCGCGCTATCACTATCGAAACACGTTCCTATTCCAGTGTGTGCGTGCGCGACGAACATAATCGTTCCGCGTCGTCCCGTTTTCTACCCCTCTTTGTCTTATCGTTCTCTGCGTTCTTGCGGATTTCTCAAAACGGGAATTCCCACGTAGCCGCGATTTTTTCCTTTTTTTTTTTTTTCTTCGCAGTGCAGAGGTTCAGAAACGAAGAAAATCCTCTCGGAAGTTTTTCGTTTTTTTTTCTCTCTTTTTTTCTTTTCACCCACCCTCTTCCTACCCCCGCCTGTCGGGTGCTCGAGACGCGTCGCGAGTTCGATGTTCTTTCGGTTCAACGATTCCCTCGCGCTGGTGGAACAGACACGGAACAGTATGCGGCCCCATCGGCTCGGCCTTGTTTCGTCTCGTCGCTTGTTTTCGTTTCGCGCCATGTAGAGGTTTCTTCTTCTCTCGCGATATGGCTCTTTGATGTTGATGGTGATTTGGTGGAGGGGTGAGTGTACAGAGAACCCGCGGACACGCAGATACGCTACTATGTTTGCTGCTGTGAGGCTCGAGAACCGCGGACTCGTTCCACAAAATCTTCAGGTGGTACGTTGTGTTTTGTTTCTGTTTTTTTTTTCTTTTTCTTCTTCTTTTTCTGTTCGCAGAAATACAGTTCGGTTTTGATTTGTAACATGCGAAGAAATACTTGCAGAAGATTAAACAATTCATCAAATTAATTTCAATTATTCAGAATTTTATTTGCTTATTTATTTGCTAGCTGCTTATTTCATCTTTTGATACAATTGACGAAAGAAACAAGTCACGATGTCAATTTTACACCAGAAAATTTTTATAAATCTGTACGTGGGATTTCTGATCGAGTTGATCTCTTCTCGAGATCAGTTTCGAACTTGTTCAACCTTTAAACACTTTTACCATGGTGAAATGATAAAACTCGTACGATAAATTACGAACTGCTCATTTTTATCATTCTGGCAGTTCTCGTTAGTTTTCGTTATAGGTGGGTTTCGTTGCAGATATTTCTTTAACACGTTTTATACTGGAGTTACTTTTTGCCTTTCGAATTTTTGGTGTTACTTTAAACGTACAGTTGTTTGAAATTTTTCGAGTTTGATGAAATTAGAATAAATGTTAAATAAATGTAAAATAACAATGTTTGATTATGAAAAAAACAAGGAATAAAAGTTCAGTACATCAATACTTTTCTCGATTGTGATAATTGGAATATTCAGAGATGATGATGTATTTTTTTCGCGTTCGTGAAAATTTAGAATGATTGTGCTACACATTATGAGTGCACATTTTCCTGACAAACATGAACTGAAACAGATATGAATGGGGGAATGCAGCATGAATGCGCTATAGTATTCCGGGGTTAATAAGTGTCACATTTCATTTTGTGATTACAACATTCATTTCTCTCTTGTCTAAATGTAATAATTGTTGGCTGATTTAATATTCAGAAAATTGACGAATAATGTGCACGTGCAAAAATAATAATAATAATAACGTACGTTTATAACAAACGGACGAAAAGTTAAGAAATTTATTTTTCGGTAGTAGATTTCTGAAATAGAATACTATGGAAGGTTTAATATGCTTGTTGCCACATGGATTTTTATCATTTATGCTTTTTATTTTTTATTACCTCTATT